GATGGGCACGCCATCCCTTCTCCTCCATTCTCCTCTTGGGATCTTGGGCACGCACGCACACGCGCCCAGCGTGAGTTTTAAGCCACCGGGTCCGGGTCGCGAACCGCAGTCGACTACGTGGGAGTCCAGTGACATAGCCATTAAGCTAACTGCTGGTTCCCAATAATACATTTTTCATAGGGCTAGATTTCCCAGGGACAATTACTTGAGGTAGATAAAGCCTCCAGTGCAATATCTGGCATGCAGTAGGTGCTCAGTTCGTTGATTCTCTTTCTTCTACTTTTTCTCCTCTCTTCTTTGGGCTTTTCCTGGTTTGAGCCATTCCTGCATGATGTCCCTGGTTCTAATCAGACCTCTTTCAGTGACAGGCAGGGACGTTTTGCAGCTCAGCGTCTCTCTGACTGATGTCTACTGCTAATTCTTTAAATTTACATATCATCTTTCTTCCCTGGAGCTCATAGCACTTAACAGACAAGTGGGGCACAAATGATTTAACTAAGTGAAATCCAGAGGCCTGCTTGTCTGGAGATTCTGCAAACTAGTGGATTAGCTCAGATGTCAGCACTGAATTATGATCCTTCAGCTGCTTGCGCTTAGCACGCCATGAGCATTAACTCCCTGGTCTTGCAGGGCCCTGTAAATCATGCACAGTGATTATCTTCCTATTGTGAGAGAGAAAGAGAGCGGGAGAGAAGAACCAGGAGGAGTGGGGGGCAGGCTCCCTGGGGTCCCTGGAAGAGGCAGTCTGTGAAACTTGTGCCTGGAATTTTAGTAAGAGGACGACTAAATAGAATGGCCCCAGATAAAATTCAGTCAGTCCAGTTGACATCCCTCACACTTATTTTACTTACCAACTTCTAACCAGTACGTTACGATTTCTCTGCTGTTTAAGAAGGTAAATGCACACAGGTGACAGTAGTTCTGCCAATTACTTTTTTTCTTTTGAGACGTTTTTGCTGTAGGGCTTGTGCGCTCACTAGACAGACAGAGAGACAGAAAGTGAGAAATCACCCCCCCCCCAGGGGGTATGGCCACAATCCCTTCTCCTCCATTCTCCTCTCGGGATCTTGGGCACACACGCACATGTGCCCGGCGTGAATTTTAAGCCACCAGGTTCAGGACCCGAACCGCAGTCGACTACATGGGAGTCCAGCGACATAGCCATTATGCTAACTGCTAGTCCCTGCCAAGCATTTTTCAGGTAGCAACTGAGTCTGTGAAACTGTGAAGGAAAAGGGCTGAATGGTATGTCAGAAATCAGGTTTCCTTTATATATTAGGTGGGAACAGTACAGGTGTAGAAATGACCAGGAGGATAGGTGCCTTTATGGGTTCTCCCTGGTGTCTTAGAGGACAGGCTGCTTCCACACGTTGCCTGTCATTAGTTCACCTCACCTTTGAAAAGGGCTGTTGGCTCCAAAGGGTGGAAGGAATTGGGAAGGGATTATATGACTCAGAGGAATTACCAGAGCCTATGTGATTCTCCCTGTGTCCTCATTTCCGGTTTATAGCCTCGTCTTATTCTTTCTCCATCTTTGTCATCCATCCATTCATTCATGGGGATAAAATTGTCTAGCGTAGTGACATGTACTGGGCACTATGTAGGGGCAGGGGGATGAAGCCGTATTAAATCTTAGGTGTGTGCGACTTAGACTTTACACCTAACTGGAATTCTAAGACATACAAAGCAGTTCAATTGTCGTGCCAGGTAGCAGGTAGTTACCACTGAGATCCATGGAAAATGGCCTCAAGTCCTTTTAAAAACAAGAAAAGATCAATGGTACAGTTAGTAAATTCCAGAGCTGCTGAGGGAAGAGGGAGAGCAATGTCGCATGTGCCAGAGTGGTTAGGAGAAAAACTAGGGGAAGACCTGGGACAGGTGGACGGTGGAGGGAGCAAGAAATTACAGAGAGGATGAGAAGCAGCAGCAACGGGCCCAGTGGGGAAGCCAGTTTGCCTCAAACAGAGTGTGATTGATTGCAAGGACTTGGAACAAGGTACCCGCAGTGCAGCTGAAATAAAGAGCTTACTGCACAAGGGTGGGAAACCCCACAGTCAAATCTGGGCTCCACCATTTAACTCCCCCTTCTACCTCAGACGAGTCACTTTAACCTTTTGGAACCTCAGTTTCTTCATCACATGCAAAGTAAGGATAGCAAGCCAAAGCTCACAAGTGAATTTCAAAGATGAGATGAAATAATGCATATGAACAGGCTTTGTAACCTGTAAAGCATTATGCAAATATGGGATAATTATTATCATTAACAGTCATAGTAAAAAGATCTGATAGGGGAAGCACAGATGTAGAAGATCCTCAGGTGCGTGGTTATGGCATTGGCATCTCCTCCTTCAACCAATCACCATCATTAAGATTCTCTTCCGGGGCTGGCCCTGTAGTGCAGTGGTTTAACACTGTGCATTGGGAGCTGGATCCCACATAGCCACCTGCAGTTTGTCCCAACCCTGGTGACTTGAAAAACATGCCAGGTACGTGTGCATGCAAGCTCCAAATCTTGCCAAGATGAAGCGAAGGAAGAAAATTGCAGTGTGAGCATACTCAATTGAGTGGTGCTTTCTCTCTCGCTCCTCCACCCCTTTTTCTTTATTTAGACCTTATGACCTAACTGGAATGATAGCAATAAAAACAAAATTCTCTTTTGTAGACTGTTGTCTTTTAGTTATCTGTGCTGATTTTTGGCCTCAAAGAGATTTCATAAAGGGACCAGCAGTCGGCAGAATGGCTATGTCGCTAGACTCCCATGTAGTCTACTGTGGTTCGAGTCCCGGACCCGGTAGCTTAAACTCATGCCAGGCATATGTGCGTGTGTGCCTGGGATTCCGAGAGGAGAATGGAGGAGAAGTGATTGCGGCATGGCCATCCCCCCTGGGGGATGATTTCTCTCTTTCTGTCTCTCTGTCTCTCTCTGTCTTTCTGGCAAGCACACGTGCCCTATAGCAAAAACCTCTCAAAAAAAAAGGTTTCATAAAGAGATCACATGTGGTGGGGTATGTAGATGTCACAGATATGACCCTAGATCACTGAGGAGGCACAAACTGGAATCCAACATGTGCATCCTCAACTGGTCTAATTTGACTTCAGAGGAAGATATCTTCTGAAGCAACAATGCCAGAGAGTCTAACAGGCAGGAGCCCAGGGAAGCCGGGAGGTGGTTGAGGAAGGAGCTGTTACTGGGCCACTGATGGGAAGGAAGTCTGTCACAGGCTCAGCTCTCACCGAGAATAATGTCAACAAGTATAACAACTGCAAACCAATGGTCCAGGGAATGCTGTGCTGATTCAGAGCACTCGAGTCCTAGCCTATCCTCTGCTGAGAAGCCCAGAAAATTCAGTCAGAAAGCTCTGTGCACATGTCTCAGGTTAACATGGCGTCACAGTAGCACGATGCTCAGGTGTCTGAACTGCCCATATTCCGTGCTGAGTATGTAGTGAAAATTGCCCTACAGTTCTTTCAGGTCAAAAAGAGGTAGTGAGATTTCTTCTTCCAGTGCTACCTGGCTGTCTACACCAGTGGCCAGAATGCTCCTAAGTGGGATTTGCAGGCATAGATCCCACACCTGAGTCTGCAAATCATGGAGACTGCATATGATAATGAGAACTCAATCCTTCACCCAAGTGTCCGATATATTTGAAACCAATCAGGCAAAGAACTGTCCTCCAGACATTTGGACTGGTGACCTTTTGACTTCCCAGGACTTGTATATTCTCCTCTAAACACATAGCCTGTGTTGCTGATAACGACAGAGTCTTTATCACTGGAGCTGTGTGTGTCTGGTTGTCTGAGAAAGGCCTCCCAGAGTAGATCGGGATGGGAGTGGAGTGTCAGGTCACCCCAAATCACCCAGCTTGGTCACCACCCCCTGTTCTGCTTAAAATTGACACTGGGTTTGAGTTGTAGTCACCTAGAACCCAGGTGTCATCTGGTAGCACTGGTGGAGACAGAAGGTCTTCGGTGTCTGCCATTTGGACAGTGCCCAGCCAAGACGACAAAGGCATGAAGCACAGACCACCTGGCCGGTCACTCTCCTACCAGCAGTCACCTCACCCTCTGTAAATCATGCCCTTGTAATTCGGGTCATTGGAATGCACTGGCCTTTTGGGTAAGCCAGTGATGAAAAAGATGTGGGTCTGGCCTCTTGGAATCCCAGGGTGAAGTCAAGCACACACACAACCAGACAGGACTTAAGGACTGCTGAGCCAGGGCTATGGTTAAAAAAGAAACAAAAAAACGGATACAGAGAAATAGGCAGGAAGGACCAACTGATTTAGACTCAAGAAAGGATTTCAAGAGGACACAGCATTTGAATCAAAGCTCCAAAGGAGCCTTCAGAAAGGCATGCAGGAGGGCCAGCAAGTGCTGCAGTAGTTATGGTGGACTTCCACATGGATAACCATGGTTTGAGTCTTGGACCTGGTGGTTTGCTTTCTCACTTTCTCTTTCTATTCTCTCTCTCTCTCTCTCTCTCTCTCTCTCTTTCTCTATCTCTCTCGCATGCATGCACACATGCCCTATAACAAATTTTAAAATAATAAATAAAATAAATAATTTTTTTTTATTTATTTATTTTGGAGAGGTTTTCACTATAGGGCACATGCGCTTGCCAGAAAGACAGAGAGAGATAGAGAGACAGAAAGCGAGAAATCACCCCTCAGGGGGCTGGCCACACCACAATCCCTTCTCTATTCTCCTCTTGGGATCTTAGGCACAGACGCACACACGCCCAGCATGAGTTTAAGCCACGGGTCTGGGACTCGAACCGTGGTCGACTACAAGGGAGTCCAGCGACATAGCCATAACGCTAACTGCTGGTCCCAATAAATAATTATTTTTTAAAAGAAAGAAATGTGAGGCCTTGGAGAACAAGACCAGGACTGAACGAAGGTCACTCAAACCCCTGATCCCAGCTTTCTCCTGGAGAGGCCACAGCTGGTGTGTTTCCCCGACATTTACCAAGACCCTCTGTTTGGGTTTGTTCTTCCCAGACGACAGGAATTTCTTGCGACTGCAGAGCGATGGCCGGCGAGAGGGCCAGTATGCAAGGCTCATTAGCCCTCCTGTCCACCTGCCCGGAAGCCCCGTGTGTATGGAGTTCCAGTACCAAGCCACAGGCGGCCGCGGGGTGGCGCTGCAGGTCGTGCGGGAAGCCAGCCAGGAGAGCAAACTCCTCTGGGTCATCCGCGAGGACCAGGGCGGCGAGTGGAAGCTGGGGAGGATCATCCTGCCCAGCTACGACATGGAATACCAGGTAGGGCGGTGAAGGGAGTTGGGTGCGGAGATCCAAGGGCACCGTGATCGGTATTTCAATATTTCAAAGGGCCGTGCCCATTCATCATTAAGGGACGTGGTTAAGCGCTGCTGTTTTCATTGTGTTTCTCCCGTTGCCATGGCAACTAAATGACACTCTTATTTGTTATTCAGAATGTGCCTATCTCTACACCCAGACTTGGTTCTTTGTTCCTCCTATTGCCTTTTATATTGCTGAAATCTTCTCCAACAAATGTTTCTTCTCTCCATTTTATTTTAGATTGCTATCAGGTAGGTTGACAAAGGGACACAGAAGCCAGGGAAATAAACACAAACAAACCCTTTACACACAAGGGGAAAAGACTGTGAGCCCCTCAGAAAGCCAGGAGGAAATGCAAATCACCTCCCTGACCTGTCCCCCGTCCCAGTGAGGGTGAGCACAGGAGGGGGAGCGTGCAGCGTTTGTGCGCAGTGGCTGGAGACCTGAGAGGGTCCTAAGCCGGTGGTTTCTCTCCAGATAGCTCCAGGAATGAGTCCTATTATCTCTGTCCCACAGAGCAAGAGACTGAGGCACAGATGGGTATGCGCAGCTGTGGCTGCAACTCGGGTAGGAGTAGACACACTGTGGAAGAGGTGACTGAGAACCAGCCAAAGCATTAACCTGCTCCTCCCCAGGCGCAAAGCAGCAACAGATGGCTGGTGAGGCAGCCAACTGCTCGCTCAGCTTGCCAGAGGACATGTGCTAGTTTGCAGAGAGAACCTGGGGAGGGCGAGAATGAGGGATGATTGAAGACCATGGAGCAGAGGGGCTTCTGTGTGCAACCTGCAGTCAGTCCCTCTTGAGATCCCAAGGCTTCCTGAGACCTGCCCCAACCCCACAGGCATTCCCACTTAGTAACTCTAATGCACTGTATTCTAAGTACCTGTTTGCATTTTTCTTCTCTGGGCAGAGGTCTTGTCATGTTAGGTTTTGTTATTCTCCTATGCCTAGAACATAGTAGGTGCTCAGTAAACCACTGGGGAAAAAAACAAATCAGGTAAATGGCATTTGCATCATCATAGTGGAGCCCTATGACAGCATGTATAATAAGCCACAGGGCAATGTTACCCCCAAGGCAAGCCAAACTTGTGTGCTATCCATTTCACATTACCACCCCCACCCCCCACCCCCAGCTGCTCATGTTCTCTGAGTTTTCAAATACCTGGACTGGGCATTTGAAAGATTAATGAGAAAGTAATCTCAAAACTAGTGAGGGAAATTCCACTCACCCTTTAAATGTGCCCTAATTGTGGTCCTTTTAATCAATAGGTACTAGTTACTGGACAGCGGTATCCATCACCTTTTATATTTTCTTATCCACTCAAGTCTGCATTTGATTTGAACCGACTCTTTTTTAAATTAAGATTTCAAGAGCTGTAGCCATGTGGTCAACAGATGTGTACCAGGTGCCATCACTCACACACACACACAGACACACACACACACTAAACTGTAGCTAACAGAACATTGGAAATCTTTGCACTGTCTTCGCCAGGAAGCTTGGTTAACCATGGCTCCTGTTCTTCTGGCTTCTAGATTGTGTTTGAAGGAGTGATAGGGAAAGGACGTACAGGAGAGATTGCCATTGACGACATTCGGATAAGCACTGATGTCCCGCTGGAGAATTGCATGGGTATGTGAATATTGTCTCTTCGTGACTTTTTCAAATATGACTCCAAAGGCTGCCATTTTCAAAAGGAGACACCTGGCCATTTTCAGATATATGTGTCACCCAATGGGCATGACAGTACCAGTCTGTATAGGAGGTGAGGCGTTGGGTACAGTTGTATCTTAGGCTGAGTTCAGGGTGGGAGGGGGGTAGGAAGAGGTAAAGGCTTATATCCCTGTTCCCAATCAGACACGGAAGTACACTAAATACATGGAGATTTGGGGTGCCAAGACCCCATCATCAAACTCCAGCTTTTAGCAAGGAAAATGCTAGAGGGTGAGAGCAACTGCCAGTCAGAATTACATGCTGGAAAGGTTTGATGGATTTAATGGAAGCGTTCACTGGTGAGCAAAAATAGTACATACAAGAGTGATAACACAATTACTGAATAGTTCCTTTACATGAATGAACTGCAGGGCAAACTAGGGCTTATGAAAGATTTTAGCTTGTACTTGAAAGCCAGTACCTCTAATGCCCAAGATCCACAATTAAACATTGTATAACAGATGACCAGCACAGGAAGGGCATCCTAACTGTCACCTTATGTGAGGATTGAGCTGCCAGCCAACCCCAGATGCATACATTTTACCCAGGGTTTCTCTCTGCCACAAGGGTCACACCAAGGGTACACTGTGACCATCTCCCATCAGAGCCATGGATGTTCCCTAGAGTAAGAAGGGAATCCTGAGAAGGAATGGGGGTTGTTCTCAGTCAACAGAGTGGCTGCAAGAGCTCGCCAAGTGCTTTTCTTGGCACACAGCCCCGGGTGTGTGTGCCTGGTGATGTCAGCAGCACCTGAGACTGCCCCAGTCCCTTTGGGTAACTCTCAGGCCCTGGGCATCTAAAAGTAATCCCGGCTCTGAGAAAGTAATCAGTGGTAAGTGACTGATTACAGTGCTTCGGGGACCTATTACTCTATGAAGGGCTTTCTGTTCCAAAGCAACTTTGAGAATCTCTCCCCGCCCACCCTGCCCTGTGATGGCGACGTTTTAGACGCAGTCTACAATGCATGGAGGACACTTTCCATAGAGAATAACAGAAAAACCTAGTGGGAGTCATCTTCACCCCATACCCTAGGGACCCCTGGTTACTTCTTCCCTTTCTCTAACTCAAATTTTCTCCTTCTTTTTTTTTTCCAGAACCCATCTCAGCTTTTGCAGGTGAGAATTTTAAAGGTAAAAAAAAAAAAAAACTTTTTTTGCATGCCTCTTCCTTTCCCCATGTGATGTGAATTTGTGGGGGGAGTAAACCTCCAAATGTGACGAATCTCACAAGAGAAAATAGACGCCACCCCTTTCCACCGCTAGATGGCACCAAAAACACCTATAGATGGAGGGAAAGGGGGATTGAGATCCTCACTGTCTCTTGTTTAATTAAAGTTTAGAAACCTATAATAGAGACAAATAGGTTACAGATAAACCTTTCAGCCTTGCCTTGTCCAACGGGGGACCAATGAGGCTGAAAATGCGGGAGTGGTGAGAAAGGAGAGGCTGTGGGAAGACTGTACAACAACAACAAAAAATCTGTAATAAATTAAAAGTGAAATGAGGTGGCAATGATTTATGGTGGCCTGAAGGTGGTTCTTTCCAGGCCCAGGGCCTAGTGGGAGTCATCTTCACCCCATACCCTAGGGACCCCTGGTTACTTCTTCCCTTTCTCTAACTCAAATTTTCTCCTTCTTTTTTTTTTCCAGAACCCATCTCAGCTTTTGCAGGTGAGAATTTTAAAGGTAAAAAAAAAAAAAACTTTTTTTGCATGCCTCTTCCTTTCCCCATGTGATGTGAATTTGTGGGGGGAGTAAACCTCCAAATGTGACGAATCTCACAAGAGAAAATAGACGCCACCCCTTTCCACCGCTAGATGGCACCAAAAACACCTATAGATGGAGGGAAAGGGGGATTGAGATCCTCACTGTCTCTTGTTTAATTAAAGTTTAGAAACCTATAATAGAGACAAATAGGTTACAGATAAACCTTTCAGCCTTGCCTTGTCCAACGGGGGACCAATGAGGCTGAAAATGCGGGAGTGGTGAGAAAGGAGAGGCTGTGGGAAGACTGTACAACAACAACAAAAAATCTGTAATAAATTAAAAGTGAAATGAGGTGGCAATGATTTATGGTGGCCTGAAGGTGGTTCTTTCCAGGCCCAGGGTGCCCAGGCAGTGGTCTCAATTAACCCTCAGTGAGGTACAGCGGCAGGCAGTCTCACAGGGGAAGAACATGAGGGAGAAGTCACGACCCAGGATGATTGTAAGGAGAGAAAGTTGCTGGATTCAGGAGCTGGTGTCTGTAAGACTAAGGAGGCATGCTGAATGGCCAGAGTTAGAGCACTTTGAATGCAGGCTGAAAACCCTGAAAAGCCCGTTCTCTCCCTGAGAGAATAAATAGCAGAGCAAAGAGAGAAGAATTTGGAATGCAAGCCTCATCTAGGAAAAGGAAGGAGTGGGGTGCTCCGGCCTTGGGAGATGGTGACATACTCACCGTTGTCATCAGTGGGTTTTGCATGTTGCCCACTTTGCAATCCCACCTGTTGGCATCACTGAAGTTCCCACCCAGGGTTCTACTGCTAAACATTTAGGAACTGCTCAAAACACTTTACTGTAGTCAGCCTGAGTGCAAAACTACACTCAGTCACCCTCACCTACTGGCAGGGGTCTTTCATGGCCTATTTGAGGCAAAGAGATATGAAGGTTACTGTGCCCCGTTCGTACTGGCTGGGCTCAACCTGATAGGTGACAGCGTTCCAGAGATAGGAGATGGACATATTCAGAGATAAGCCATTTTTATATCTGGCTTCTAGACTCATTGTCACTCAGTAATCTGTCCGGCCCCTGGCTAGAAAGAGATGACTTCCAGGTTTGCCACCTAGGTGGGTCTCTGACCCCAAACCCTCTGGCCTAATTTGCCACTCATCGCCCACATTCTAAGGCAATTGAGGAGGAAGAAAGCAGCAGAATGAGGGAGAATGGCCAGTCTACAGACAATGTATTTCCTTTCTTATGCTTCTTTGCCTTCCTGAACCCCACGGGCATCCCTCCTTCCCCATGTTAAAGTGTTAGTATTCATAGCCCTTTGCTGGTGCTCTCTGGGTGTGAGATTTATGGGAATGCAAATCCCAAGTATTGGAAGGAAAGCTGAAGTCCAAAGTGAATGACTTGGATTACAGTTGAATTCAAGTTCTAGCCTTCAGGACCCAAGGTCATGCTTCTGTCGGCCAAGTGGAACCTGCTGATGTTTCACCTGATTCTCTGGCTCGTTGAGACTCATGGCTCCCAGAAAGGCTGGTTAAAGTCACACCGGCAGCTGCCGCAGACGCTGTTCTGTGTGCGCACTGTGTGGGGTCGTGACTGACAACTGCAGTGGCTAAGTGCTTTGCTTCTGTAAGAGAATAAACAAACCAGGGCACATGTGCTTTCCTTGAAGCCCTGTTACCATAAGGCTTCACCGTGCAGTCATGTTCTCTTGTAAAAAATATATATAAATAAAATCTCATCAGAGTGGCAGTGTTCATTTAGCCAAAATAAACACAGGGCTTAGTGACTTGAAGGTAAGGATTTCCAGCTCGCTACTAATGGGCTCCTGATGGGGTAAAGCAAAGGCAGGCATGGGTCCTGTGGACTGGCCCCTGGCTGTTGTCTGGGAAGATGGCAAGCTTCCTTAGAGAATATCAAGTCTTGAGGAGCATGGACAAGGAGCACAGAGTCAAGAGTAAAATCAGAATTGAAAGTGGGTGATGTTGATCACATTGGCGCCTTTTACCTGGAACTCCCGGTCGGTCGGTAGCCAGATGAACGTAGAGACACAGGGAGTATGGGGGAGGGTCTCTTCTTTTGAGCTGAGGTCCCTTTGACCTCAGCATGCAGCTGTGTATTGTGATGCATGCAAACCGTTCTGCTCGGTAGGGGAAAGAGGATCACGTGTTGCATCTAATCTAGTGACTCCTGTTCTGTTTCTCACCTGGTCCAGACGGCAAGAGCCCTATCTTGGTCATAGCATATCAGTCTCTTCACTCAGAAAAGGGAAACTAAAATCAGCTTTGATTAGGCAAGATATGCAAAGTTGATGTTGAAACACTATTAACGGGACCAGCAGTTGGCCTAATGGCTATGTCGCTGAACTCCCATGTAGTTGACCGCTGTTTGAGTCCCAGGCCCGGTGGCTTAAACACACACCGGGTGCATGTGTGTGTGTGTGCCCAAGATCCCAAGAAGAGAATGGAGGAAAAGGGATTGGGGTATGGCCATCCCCCTAGGGGGTGATTTCTCGCTTTCTGTCTCTCTGTCTCTCTCTTTCTGGCAAGCGCATGTGCCCTATAGCAAAAACCTCTCCAAAAAGAAAAAAAAAAAAAACTCTATTAACAATAGTGGCCAACAGGTGGACGTGTGGTTAAGACTCTGAATTCTCACATGGCCCACAGTAGTTCAAGTCCCAGACCTGTCAGCTTGAAAATCATGCCAGATGTGTGTATGTGTATTAGTGGCCAAAATACCAGGAGGAGATTGAAGCAGAGGGTGATTTCTGGACAGTGATTTCTCACTTTCTCTCTATCTCTCTCTCTCCAACAAGCATACACACTCTATGGCAAAAACCTAAAAAAATAAAATAAAATAAAATAAAAAAATAAACCATTGTTAGCAATAGGCATTTACATTGTCAGTATGTTTTTTGGATTGGAGTTGTTTTCTTTTCCATTATAAATTAACCATGCAGTAGAAATAATCTCATTCTTTAGAAAAGAGCAATTTATACTAGGTAAATATTTAGGGACAAGCAATAAAGTGCCCTTTGGACCTGGGCTTAGTTGGTATTCTTGATCTTTGCTATTCTGAAGGATCTTTCATTTTCTCCCTCTTACTGATTTCTTGCCAGGCAACATTTTCTTTGTATTCAGATTGGTGTGCGTTTTCTGCTTAATATCTATATACTTAGATTGTGGACCAGGCTGTGAGTCAGTGATGAAGGGAAGCCATTAGAGTAAAGGAGAACTGCGATGAGAAAGAAGAGAGACTGAATTCACTGTGTCATCATTTGATTTTTGAAAAGACTTGTTTTTCCCCTATGAGTCACATTTTAAACAATGTAGCCTGGGTGTGCTTCTTTTTTCCCTTTCTTTTTTTTTTAAGCAGTGGCTGTAAACGTGGTGCCGTCATGTATCTTTTTCTAAGATCTGAGCTTTAACAAATGAAAAACTGTGTAAAGGGGGGAAAAAAAAAGAAACGAAAATTGGTGTAATTAAGGTGATGGATTATTTCCTCTTACCCAATACTTTCTTTTTTTTCAATAAAAGAAAAGGAATAATAAAGAAGCCAATAAAAATATATAAAGCTCATAATCAGGGTTCTTTAGTCATTGACCAGGTGGTTATTTTTAGCGGCTCACAGTGGAGGCAAAAGTTCTCATTCATGTCAGGAGTCATGGGCTTTGAACAGAGCCACAATGGAGACACTGGGTCTGGAACTCTACCTGTTAGAGACCCATGGAAATCCCAGGCGGCAGTGTGCTCATGGAAGATGTTGGAATGAGAATTCAGAACCGCTATTTTACAGTTAAGGGGACATCAGTGTTCCCTGTTAACAACTGTGATTGTGGACTTGATGTCAGGCCATTTCTGAGGGCCATGGGCCCCATCTTGTGGTTTCACTGAGTCTCTTTCTACAGTCCTCTGCAGTTTTTATCTAGGCAAAACCAGCAGAAAACGAACCTCAAAGGCTGTCTCATGGGCATAGATAAGAGCAGTCTTCAAAGAGACTCATTCTGGGGTAGTGCTGAAGCTCGCTGGCACTCAACCCGGTGCCTAGGGTTTCAAGATTTGTTTTCTGGGTACCCAGGGGCCAGTCTAGTCTATACTGCACCCCCATCTCCCATTTTCCATGTCCATGTTCACCCGTTATCACCTGCCTCCCAGAGGCTTTGCCCACCAGTGTCACATCCCTGTTCCAGGGCACAGGACGTGGGCTTGACCTCAGATTCCCTTTCTCCTGGATTCACTTTCTCCCACTGCTCTAAGACGAGGAGAGGGGAGGGTTAAATAGTGTTCTCACAAGTAATCCTCTGATTAAAGGCAGAGAAGTATTCCTAAACCCCGCCAGGGCTCCAGATAGGCAGCTGTGGTGTGTGAACTCTCCTCCTTGCTCGCCCCCCTCCCAGTGTCTCCAGCTGCCAGATGAAGGCTAGGT